GCCTTGGAAACCTGAGGAGCCTCCTGGGAGAACTCATCTTTGTCAAGGAAGGAGCCAGACTTCAGGAACCTGACTCATGATTCTGAATTCAGTGTGACAGGAGACCGTTCAGTCCGTCTGGCCCTGCCCTGGGTGTATGTGTGGGTGCTAGACACACAAAGGGTTGGCTGGAAATAGCAATGGACACACCTGCTTGATTAAGCTCTGAGGTACATTGTGTCGTAGGCAGCAGTGCTGTGGAACTTCACAAAGAGCAACCTGACCACAGACCACCACACGGGCCCAGTGAGAGTCGTGATGGGAGAGATGGGGAACCATCCACAGTGCCTGGGATCCCGCAGAGGAGAAGTGGTAGGTAGAAGGAACAGACATACTTATAGGCCCACGTGGACCGTCCTGGGTTCCCCATCAGGAAAGAGACAAGAGCCAGAGAAATCGGAATGACCGAAATAAAAGTGAGTCCACTACTCCCCCAGGCTACTGAGACCAGAAAAGAAGTGTTAGTTACATATTCCATGAGAGAGAATATTAAATAAAAAGAGAAGGGCAGAAATCAAAGGAAAAAACAAACCCATGACCACATGCTTGAAGAGGCGACAGTATTTTGACTCCAGAGCAATCTAGCCATCTGTTGTCAGGCTCCAAGGAGAGTTTCTACCTTTGGCAAGATAAACGAGGAATATACCCTGAGTCTGCAGCATCCTGATGAAATGACCGTGCTTATTAAACTAAGGAATAAAATTTTCTGAATTAAAATGCATCCTGTCCTGAATATACCTTCCCATGTAGGGATGACAGAAAATGTAGGAGGCGCCGGTTTAGTGACTCTGAGCATACCAATATGCAAACCACTAAAAAGCCTATTTTCATTTTCTCTTTCCTTCTGGACCAATTTTACAGAGCAGGTAACCTATCACAACTCAAAACGGTTTCTCCATCAACCTGTTTCATTCAGCATCAAGATTCCAAGCAATATCCTATTTCCTTTAATATTCATAGGCACAGGCTCCAAAAAAAAAAAAAAAGCCTTTGTCAGATATGTTTGTGTCATTTGGGATTTTAAATGTATAAGGGCATGTATGCCCAGCCCAAGAAAATGACTGAAAGTGGACTTAAATCTAGGATAATGACCAAAGTCGTAAACCCTGGGATATTCCTGACCTTCCAGGACAACCTCAGTTCTGTGCCCACTCATGATTGGTTCGGGTAATTTATAGGAAATTGCATACTGATCTCCCTTTTGCGAGCTAAGAAATCACTTTAGAAAGAGAGCGGGACGAAAGTGAAACATTCAAGCATCTCATTCTCTACGAAATTACCGGCTCACAATATTATTCTTCTGATTGTAGTGTTCCTTCCTCCCAAGAAATCTTAGGCTCATGTATATTTATGTTTTAAGTAAAATTTCTCTGCTTGTCCAAAAAAGAAAAGAAATGGAGGAAGGGAATTTCTGAGAAGTAGTAATAAACAAAATAAGGATTTGAGTACATGGAAATAAGGAATAATTTTCTCAAAAAATCCAACAGAATGTAAGATTTATGTTATTACAAGATCTATAGCGAGATCTTACTTGAAAACATTGCTTCTGTCTGTGCACAGAGATGTCTCCTTTAGGGTCCTATCCTCTGGGGAATTTTCTCAGCTCCAACAGGCTTGGTACCTCATGAGAAGCTACCTTAGTCCTTCCAAATTTCACTGGATTTTATCTTTTTTCCCAGGACCAGAGAATAAAAAAAGCTTTCTTCAAGAGGTTTTGGTATGTTATGTCCTAATACAGAGTATAGAGAAAGTGACATTTCTCATTTTTGACACAAGTACATGTCTTGGGTGGGGCAGGGGCATCGAGTACAGGTGTTGTGATGACATAAAGCTGGGCATTAGGCAATAAAAAAGTTTTAATAATCTACTCAAATAATTATACCTGCACTTTGACAGACTGAAGATTCTGTACATTTGAAAACAGGCAGGATTCTACGTCTCGTGAAATCTGTATGCAGTCACCTACCTGAACCTACTGTTCACACAGATTACTAATCACTTCTTTGAGAATTCCAGTCCAGTTTAAATTGCTCCAGTGACATCTGTAAAGTTCAAAGTTAGAATATCAGCATTTTGTATTCAATAATATGGTAAGGGGACCAAAAAAAAAAAAAAGACTATGGTAAGGGAAAATAATCACCTATTAAATCATATTTATTGGTGTCTATTTTGGACAATATTCTATAAGTCAGAAAGATGAGAAATGGATTCACCTATAAAAAGCTTAATACTTAATGGAGAAAATCTCTGTACATTAGGGAGCATGCCTGCATACACACACACACACACACACACACATTATAAATGTGTTTTCCAAACTTCTGTGATGATAATTAAAATCACCCAGAGAATTGATTTTTAATAGGCCTTCTCCGGACCTAGTGGAATGAACTCTCCAGGGAAAGAGCTTGAGTCTCTGTGTTTATAACAAATGACTCAGTTGATTCAGATGAGGCAGCTTTAGAAAACATTATAGTCCTCTGAACAGTCTCATGAAAATAATATTATTCCGCTTTTACCATTGAGAAAATTAAGGTCAGAGAGATTAATTAACTAGTCAAGGACTCTCAAGTTAAGATAAAACAAGCTGACTTTCCAAACTCGTGTTCTTTTCACTGCTCTAAGCTTCCTTTGTTCTCTGAGAAAAAGATCAGGTTGCATGTGGAAACATGAAATTAAAATACTTATTACAGAAAAATTCATTTTTACCGCTGCTTAAAAACAACATTACAGTCTGTTTTAAAGTGCTGGGGGAAAGAATATTGAGTCCCTGAAATAAGAACGTCTTTGTCAGGGGTAGAATGCACAGATTTCTGGGGACGCTGAAGCGTTGAGCGCACATTGGACAAGCAATGTGGGATCCCGTAGCCGCAAAGAGCTACAGGAAAGGACCAGAGCACTGGAGAAAAATACTCCCAACTACAGAAAGTAACTTGTTCTGACGAACATAAGACACAAGCCGCCAGAGTCTCATTTTCTGACTCTGCCTGTATTATTTGTAATTCACAACTCAGAGCCACTGGGAGGAAGGAAGAAACAAACTTCTTATAAATTTTTTTAAATATGTACAAGAGTAGAGGAAAGAGTATAATAAATCCTCATGGAATTATCACTCAGTTTAAACAAATATCAGCATTTTGCCTGTCTTATTTTATATCCCCTTTATTATTTTAGTTTATTTTCTATGAGAATACTTGAAGGCAATTCCTAGACATCTTATTTTTTCATCAGTAAATATTTTAGTATGTATTTCTAACAGATACGAGCCTTTTCTTTTCCATTGCCAATTGCATTATAATGCACAAAATTAATAATTTCTTAACATATCTGTTACAGAAATACACAAAAGTGGTTTCTGTGGTTTGTCCATACATCACATTTGTTTGCTATCCTTTTAAATCTTTTTTATCCTGTAATACTCTCTCCTTCTCCATTTCACTTCTTAATGCTAGTTGGCGACCTTTTGGTGCATGGGACAATGTTCAACCAACTGAGCCATACCGGCTAGGGCACCATTGTACTTTTTGATGTTCAAATTATCACATCTTTGTCCGAAGAAGTCTTTAATAGGTTCTTTAATTTCTGGAACAAAATAGATATCCCAGACCCATCTTGCACATCCCCTACCCCTGACTAGGGCAGGGACTCGAAGTCCTTTGAGTGGACTCTGATATTTAGAGACCACAATGAAGGTGTGAGGGTGCTCATCCTTATTAGGCTTTTTCAGTGGGTGGAGCTAAGGTAGACATTTATTTCTAGATGAAGAAAAATTAATTATGAGTTCACATTGCTATTTGCAATTCAAATGTAAGATTAGTAGGTATTTACTTGACTTCTTGTTGCTGACGATATAAATTTGAAACTAACAATACCAATTTTACTACTATTGAGTGTGATTAAGACTTCTATGCCATGAGAGATGTACAGTCAGAAATACTGTGTTTCAAAGTCACTGGAAAAAATTTTTTTTCTGTGTAGTTATGCCGCCAACATGATATACTGTTAGGTTTATTTGTTTCCGTTTGTTTTACATTGGGAAGATGATTTTTTCTTCTTAATTTATAAGACATATGATTTGAATAATAAAAACTATAAAATAAGGTACACCCAGAGATGGCCTCCATTATAGCTCTTCTGTTTCTGTAATATAAGTAAGTATGCATGCACGTTGGTATAGTCTCTTCTTTTCTGACACAGAAGGTAGCATACATTGTTCTGTACCTGTTTTTTTTTCCACTTAACATTTTGACCAGGAGATGACATCACATCAGTAAATAGAGACTCTTTATTCCTTTTCACAGCTATGTTAAGTACCACATTTTGTAGATAGACCATTGTTTTTCAGTCAGCCCCCTATTAATGGACATTTGGGTTATTTCTAGATTTTTGCTATAACAAATTATGCCATAGTGAATAGAATTGTATATATGCTATTTTATATTTTACCAGAGTGTCTATGGTAACTGCAATATTCTTAGAAGAGGGATAACAGGGTCACAAGTTAAATACATATGTAGTTTTGGGCCCTGGCTGGATAGATCAGTTGGTTAGAATATTGTCCTGATATGCCAAGGTTGTTGGTTCTATCTCCATTTAGGGCACATACAAGAAGCAACCAATGAAGGCATAAATGGGCGGAACAGCAAAATAGCTGTTGCTGTTTCTCTCTCCCTCTCTCTCTCAAATCAATAAAAAATTAAAAAGAATTTAAATACACATGTAATTGTAATTTTGGTAGGTGTAGATTACCAAACATTCTTAAATGCTGTACTATTTTCAATTCCTAAAGACAGTATATGAAAGTGCTTCTTTCTCCATAGCTTAATCAACACATATAAGGCCAAATTTCTTTATTTCTTTCCCACCAAATAGGTGAGCAATGGTTCTTCAGTGAAGTTTTAATTACAGTTCTTTTCTTATAAGCAAGAAGTTAAGAGACAAGTTTACATTTACATCTTGTTTTCTGTAAACTATTCCTTCTTATCCATAGCTCATTTGGGTGAGGGATGGCCAAAAAAATTTTAATTGTAATTTAATCTACCATTTTCCTATTGCTTGTGCATTTTTAGTCATAGTTAGGAACATTTTTCTTATTCCCAGGTTACAGAAAAATTCATCTATATTTTCTTATGGTTTTTATTTGTACCCAAAATTTTAAACAAGTTTCTGAAAAGATTCTTATGGACACCAAAGTACCAGTTTATAAAGCCAAGTTGATAAAGTGGTGTCACACATTGCAGTTATCTACATGACACACATTTAATAATCTGTCATGTTCATGCTTTTCTTCATTCTTCTCAATGATGTCAATCTGAAGTCTTCTTGCCTGCATGGTAAAATGTTTTGTCAGTAAAACAGAAAAGAGAATTTCTGGGCTAAGGTATGCTCTTTAAAAATAAACATATTCAATCACTGAAAACTTTACCTTTCTAAGAGAAGACAACATAAACCATTATGATGCAGCCCACAATCCAGCCAATCAAGAGAAGAACAGGGACCAGAATTTGTGATGATGTAGATTCTGCTTAAAAATAAACAAAATGAAACAGATTCTGTAGATCATTTGGTATTCTATCTTCTGAATCAAGAGAATAAGAGGGATCTGGTAATATCAAGGGACAAGATACATTCTCTAGTCATATCTACACATGACTATTGTGGGGTGTGTGTGTGTGTGTGTGTTTTGTTTTTTGTCTACAAAAGGTACAAGTAACTCAGCTGGGTATTTGGAATAGAAAGCCTGTGTTCAAATCACAGGTCTTCCTTTTACAGTTATGTGACCTTGGGCCATTCTGAGCCTGAGCTTCTCTATTAGTAAAATATGGATAATGAAACTTATGATCTCTATCTCCTAAAGTTGTTGTGAGAGCCAAATGATATTGCTTATATGCAAAGGCTTTGTAAACTCTATCCACCATGTGTGTGTTTAGTGCAGACAGCACACATTCATATCTGTGTTCAATAACCCAAAAAGCAGCTGTTTGCATATAAACAATTGAAAATGACTCTGACATAATTCCTATTAAATTAAATAATCATAACATAGGGAAAGGTACTAAAATTGTTCTTGGCCTTGAGAGCTAACTTTATTCTTAAATATCATAGGGGGGGAAAGGCATTATATTTTATATAATTATTCTCAAATAGAGAAGAGAGATTCTACTATTTTTACTGTTCACTATAGCAATCAACACTGACCCAACACACACACAGAAGATATTAGTATAATGACTCCTCTTGTGTCTCCTATTTATACCCTGACCTGTAAAAGGCAACTTTAAAATTATCTTTTTTAAAATAGTCACCACATCTCAATCTTCTTCTTTCAAACACATACATATTACACAAAAGAATTAAAAAACAGCACAGACATCATACAGAATTTATGTTTTAGGTTAAAGACTCATCTATTCTTAATTTAAAAGCACAATTAGATCTTATGCCATCAGCTAACAAAGAGGATGCATGGTCTTAGCAATTGCATTTCTATTACAATTTTTATCACTTTAAAATGTGGAATTTTTTAAATACTACTCAAAATCATCTGGAAACTTCTAAGGACACTTCTAAAAGTAAAAGACATACTTATAAAAGCAAACTTTTTGAAGTTAAATAAATATTAATAGTTTAAATCTATGTTTTCAGACATGTTGGAGTCTCTCTTAATTCTCAAACATTAATTAGGCTTTCCCTTCTCTGCCTTACTATGACCGTGAACAACGCATTAACCACTAAATAAAAAACCCTTCTCTTTACCTGCCACTTGGTATTGCTTTAAGGATAAAGCGAATATTAAAATATACCCTTTGCCCTTATTTAGATGAAAGCCTTTTTATGAATGAAGGTGCCATTACAGTGGAAGTACATATTAGTCATTTTTTTGAGCTGTTTATATATGTGATTTAGCATTTTTCCCAATTTCAAAGAACTTAAAAATTAATATTAACATTTTAATTGAGCATTATAATGTTATACAAGCCTATTTTAATATAATTCTAAAATATACACATAATAAAGGCTTATTTTATATATATCATTACTTATTATTCCTTGTAAAACAATACAATTGTGAATTTTCACACTCAAAATGTAACTGCATTTGTGTTCTTTTAACACTGATATTTTAAGTTTACTCAAAATCTGTACCATTGCTTTGAAATAGGAGTATAGGGCCCTGGCCAGTTTTGCTCAGTGGTTAGACGTCGGCCTGCGGTCCACAGAGACCCGGGTTTGGTTCCCGCGAAGGGCGTGTACCTCGGTTGCAGTTTGTCCCCGGCCTTGGTTGGGTCGTGCAGGAGGCAGCCACTCGATGTGTCCCTTTCACGTCAATGTTTCTCTCTCTCTCTCTTCTCACTCTATCTGATCAAAAAATGGAAAAATGTCCTCAGGTGAGGATTTAAAAAAAAATGAAATAGGAGTATAGAAACTCAGCATACTTTGCATATGCCACTTACATTAATAGCACAATAAACACAAAACCTCTTTTTAAATATGAAGAGCAATTTGAAAATTCTTTCTTTGTCCAGTTCTGAGCATGCCCACGCAGTTACACCTGGAAGAATCCTTAAGGTCACTGTGCTCTGGAACAAGACTGTCCAAGTTCAAAACACAGTGTCACCACTCTCTAAGTATGCAACTGCAGGCAAGTTACAACATTTTGCTATGTCTCAGCTTTCTTACCTATAAAATGGGAATGATGACAATACTGCGTATCTCATGAGATTGTTGTCAGGGTTAAAAGCAACAATTCCTGTAGGTATTTAAAAACTGTTTCTTGGACACAGTATATTCAGCCTATTTTGTCATATTAACGTTAATCATTTTCTTTTAATGTAGAACGGTTTAAAAATCAGGAAAAAAAAATTCAGATGCAAAGCATATTGGAGATGACTAAGCCCATATTAGCCGTTTTCATTTTTGAGTTAGAAAACAGGATCAGAGAAGTTGAGGGACCTCTTCAAACTCACATGGCCATTAGTAGCAGATGTGACAGAATCCAAATGCCCTTAATTCTGGTCCCACATGCCACAATTCAAACCTAATACCTCAAATCTAGCACAACGCTGGAAAATAACTTCTAACTCATCTTTCAAAACAAGTGCAAACAAATTCAGCTCTTTTGTTTAATCCTTTCGAAAATGTCTAATAATGTATATACGTGGTCCATACACTGCACATCGAATGCATTTTTTGTGCCACACTGATATATATGATTAGTGCTTTTTTAGCAGAAAGACCACATTCATCAGAATAACTAAATAACACCAAATACTAGAAAACATAAAATAAAGCAGGGAAAGTGGGTCTTTTGTGCCTAGAAAGTCTGGTGGTTAAATCTTACCTTTCTCTGCCATTCTTCCTGTTGTTGGGTGGGTTGATCAGGGCCAGGCTTACCTCTTTGTTATTGTTTTCCAGTGTCACTTTGAACTTTAAATAGAGAGATTATCTGAAGAGGCAGCAGCTGCCCCTCTCCGACTGCCAATTGTCTGCAGGGTGAGGTAAGACGTGGGAAGCAGGGCTCCGCTGGCTCCTCTTACCCTGTTATGACGGAGGAAACAAGGGACTACACGGACTAAACAATTAAATAGGCTGAGTTATCCCAACCCAGAGACATGCAGATTTTTAATTCACCCCGGGCCTTCAGACCACATGAAGAAAATGTTCAGTGAAGGGGTGTACAGAAGAAAAATGGTATTGCAATTAGAGAAATTCTACCTAAGAGGGAGGGTGATATATTGAAAAGAACAGACTTTGACGCTGGAAGCTGGACAGACCTGACCTCAAATTCTAGCTCGGCTATTTCTGTAACAAAGGCCAAATCGCTTAACCTGGGCATCTCCTTTAATTTTAAAATCAGGATAGCAATACCTACCCATGAAAAAAGTGTCATAAAGATGAAATGGAAAAGCTCTATGAAATATAGACAGTTTTTTATTACATTACAAGATGCAAAAGATAAAACAAATTAAATGGTGCCCCTTCCTACGAACCATTCTAAAAAGAGAAATTTTAATATAAAAGTACTAAAAACTAAAATAATAAAAGGCTGTGATATTGCCTTGAATTTTCAGAGAGCAGCCATAGCTTGTTGTTTTTATTAGCAATAAAAATAGGACATGTCATCTTTTTTTAAGTCCAACCTGGTTTATGTAACATGATCCAGATTATACTCTAGATTCTCATTGGAAAAACTTTAATTTATAAGGTTGAATGGACAAATTTTGCAAAATGACCTTGTGACCAACTTTCCCAAAAATCCAACATGAGATTGAGAGTGTCCTTCTTTTGAAGAAAAGACACATGATCAAAGCCATCCCCACAGAGCTTCAAGAATGATGTGTCCCTGCAAATGACCATGTCTCCGCATTGATCAAAATCTACCAATGGTTCTCCATCCCCTAGAGAGTAAAAATCTGAACTCCTTGTTAAGACACCTAAAAAGCCTCATCTCTACTCTCCCATTTGCAGTGATACTTCAGCCCCACTGAACTCCTTGCTGTTATATGAATTTAGGATATGCTCCCACAGTCATAGGTAAGGAGAGCATTTCATTTTTTTACCTCAAGTCATATATCTATAGATTAGAGTTTGCAGTCAACCATCTGGTAAGTTTATTACATGTCATTGAAGCCAAGTTAGCATCTCTCTCTCTCTCTCTCTCTCTTTCTTTCCCTCTAATTTAATATTGAAAAAATGCCTGGCTATACCCACATAAGAGGAAAGACTATGCAACAAAATCTCTGATAACATCAGGTATTAAACAATTATATATTGAACAAAGACTAATTGAAGACAAGATAGAGACAGAGACAGAAAGAAGAAAAAATGGTGATTGATCTCACTTAAATACTGAAAATTTTAACTAAATGAGTTCCAATGAACATTCTATCGTAAGGCAAAGAGAGAAAGGGAGCGGGGGAGAAAGAGAGAGAGATTCAAAAGAAACAGAGAGGTACCCTCCAAAGAACAAACATACATATACATGAGGGTAAAGTATTTGCCTAAAATGAATGAAAATAAAGATATAAAAAGGTTTCTACATTTTAAATACTTATTGCCATTTGAATTATCTCAATATTTCTCTTTTGATATAAAAAGGACTATTATTAACATTATTGCTATCAATTTGAATTTTGAGAAGGGATTACTTTATATCACATCATTTATTTTTCTCAGTTTTCTATAGAAAAAGAGAGGTGGACAAAAACTAATTCAATGAACATGAATTGCTCAGATCTCAGAAAAGAATCTAGAATCAGAAAAAAATCTCAGAATCAATCTAGAATTTCATTTCCTTGGTATCCCATCAGTAAATTTTTTTTAAGTTGTATAATATTTGTTAAGGGGAAACTGTTTTACTCATTAATAGACTGGTTTCATTTTGAACTTATAAACTCAAAGGCTTATATTTGACCATTTTCTAATTTTCCTCTAAAGGCATATCATTTAGGTACATTTTCTACTTCTACTTTGCATATTTTCTTGAAGATTTAGTTTTGCATACTTTCTTGAAGGTTTAGATTCTTCTAGGCTACTTAAGGTAAGATAGATAGATGATAGATAGATAGATAGATAGATAGATAGATAGATATTTGATTCCTTTTTTTTTTTTTTTTTTGGTATGTGACCCTAGCGGGAACCAAACCTGGGGCTCTCTGATGCTCAGGCCAATGCTCCAACTGCTGAGCCAAATCAGCCAGGGCTTACCCAAGATAAATAAAAGGTCTTTACTTTTCAAATAGTTTTAACCATCAGTGTCTGCAGTTGTAGTAGATAGATGGGAACATGGTAGATTAAATGGACAAATTCCTATAAAGGCATAAACTACCAAAATGGACCCAAAAAGAAATAAAAAATTTGAATAGACTTATAACAAGTAAAGAGATCCAAGTAATAATCAAAGCATGTTCCACAAAGAAAAGCTCTGGAACAGATGTCTTCACTGGTAAATTCTAACAAACATTTAGAGTTAACACCAATACTTCAAAAAAAACTCTTCCCAAAAAAGAAGAGGAGGAAAGACCTCCCAATTCATTCTATGAAACCTGTACTACCCTAACACCAAATCAAAGATATTATAAAAAAAGAAAACTATAGACCAATTTCTCTGATGAATATAGGTGCAAACATTTCCACAATGAACTGACAAACCAAATCCAGCAACATATGAAAAGGGTAATACATCATAACCAAGAGGGATTTATCCCAGGAAAGCAAAGTCAGCACAACATTTTTTTTAATATATATATATATTTTTTTTTTTTTTTTTTTTTTTTTTTTTTTTTATCCTCACCCGAGGATATTTTTCCATTTTTTGTACAGATAGAGTGGGAGGGTGAGAGAGGAAGGGAGAGACAGATAGAAACATCGACGTGAAGGGACACATCGAGCGGCCGCCACCCGCACGACCAACCAGGGCTGGGGACAAACTGCAACCGAAGTACGTGCCCTTAGCGGGAACCGAACCCGGGTCTTTCCAGACCGCAGGCCGACGCTCTAACCGCTGAGCCAAACTGGCCAGGGCTTTTTAATATATATTTTTTATTTGTTAGAGAGAGGAAGGGAGAGGGAGAGAGATACAGAAACATCAATGAGAGAAACATCCATCAATCTGCTGCTCCCAGCTTGCCCCCAACTGTGGGTCGGCCCACAACCTATGTTTGTGCCCTGACGGGGAATCAAGCCAGCAACCTCTTGGTGCATGGGATGACACTCAACCAACAGACACACCAGCCAGGCAAGCACAACATTTAAATACCAATTAATGTAATACACTGTATCAATAGAATAAAAAACAAAAACCACATGATCATCTCAACAGATGCAGAAAAAGCATTTGACAAATTCCAACACCATTTCAAGATAAAAAACATTCAACAAATGACTAATAAAAGGGAAATTCCTCAACCTCATAGAGGAAATCTACAAAAAACCCACAGCTAACATCATACTTAATGGTGAAAGATTAAATGCTACCCCCTAACATCATGAACAAGACAAGAATCTTTACTCTCACACTTTGATTCAATATTGTATGGGAATTTGTAGCCAGGGGATTTGGATTTAGGCAGAAAATAAAGTAAAAGCCATCCAAGTTGGAAAATAAGAAATTAAACTATCTCTATTTTCAGATGACATTTAGATATATAGAAAATCCTAAAGAATCTACAAAAAAACTGTTAGAGCTAATAATCAAATTCAGCATGGTTGCAAGACAAGATCAACACACAAAAATCAGTTGTGTTTTTACATACTAACAATGAACAATTTTAAAATTAAATTAAGAAAAATGACATTTAAATAGCATCAAAACCCATAAAGTACGTAGGAATAAGTTTAACCGAAAATATATAACACTTGTAACTGAAGACTATCAAAACATCTCTGAAAAAGGTTAAAGAAGATATAAATAAATGAAAATACATTTTATGTTCAAAGATTAAAACCCTTTATTATTGTTAAAGATGGCAATGGCAATACAGCCCTAAGCAATCTACAGAGTCAATATACTCCTATCTTAATAGCAAAAGCCTTTTTTTTTTTTTTTTTTTTTTTTTTTTTTTTTTTTTTTGCAGAAAGGGAAAAAGCTAACCTTAAAATTTATGTAAAATTACAATGGGCCCTGAATAATCAAAACAATCTTGAAAATGAAAAGTAAAGTTGGAGGATTCACACTTACTTATTTCAAAACTTATTACCAAGTTACAGTAATGACGAATGTGTGGTATAGGTGTAAGGGCAGACATACAGAGTAATTGAATACAACTGAATATCCAGAAATAAACCCACACATTTCTGATCAACTGATTTTCAACAAGGATGCCAAGGTAATATTTTAGAAAAAAAAAAAATAGACGTTTTAATAAATGATGCTGGAAAAATTAGTTTTCCACATGCAAAAGAATGATAGTGAACCCCTATCTCACACCATATAAAGAAATTAACTCAGCCTGTCCCGTGTGGCTCAGTGGATTGAGCATCGTCCCATGAACTGTGAGGTCCTGGTTTGATTCCCTGTCAGGGCACATGCCTGGGTTGTAGGCTCAATCCCCTGTAGAGGACGTGCAGGAGGCAGCCAATCCATGTATCTCTCTCACATGGATGTTTCTATCTCTCTCTCCCTTTGTCTCTTTCTAAAAAATCAATAAAAGACATATTTTTTTTAAAAAGAAATTAACTCAAAATGCATCAGAGACTTAAATTTAAGAGCTAAAATGATAAAACCAGAAGAAAACATAGGGGTAAATCAAGCAATGTTTTCTTAAGTATAACACCTAAACTACAAGCATTCAAAGAAAAAAAAAATTTGGCCTTCATCAAAATTGAAAACTTTGTGCATCAAAGGACACCATCAAGAAAGTAAAAAAAAAAAATCTGATTGGGAACAAATATAAAAGCAAAGAGACTGGTGAGGAGGCGACTGTAATAATCCAGACAAGAACTGATGGGGACTCAG